TAAAGCGCAATGAAAATTACTAATATCGTGTTTAATGACTGCAGTCAATTTTATGACAGATAACGTACACACAGACACATGCGCATATGCGTGCGGACACACATACGCACACACACACACACACACACACACACACACACACACACACACACACACACACACACACACACACACGAGAGAGTACACATATAGGTACGAATCAACAATCATTACACATGTGCACCGCGCATTGCACCGCCTTCGCCGACAGCAGATGGAAGTAAACGACGAAGTAACTCGCCGACTGAATGAAGAGGATGACCGCCGACCGTGAGGACACCGGCCGACGACGGAGAAGCATCGCCACTCAGTATTTGTTCAATTTTGGGGGTTGTGTGGGCGAGCGAAAAGTATGTAAATAAGGGATATCGAAGTCGCGACTCATTATAAACCAAGTGCGCGCAATTGTAGATCGACACGCGTAGTATAGTACCGCGTGACGGATCGCGAGTTAGGATAGTGGATCGCGAACTGTGTTGTTGATTGCGAATCACGCTCAAGCAAAAGCGTATTGTGGGTATTATTCGTAGTTCGCGAATCTCGATGCCGCGACGTGCACTAGAAGGAAGAGAAAGTGGCTAAACGCCCTACTTTCTGAGCAATGGGGAATATGACTGCGCGAGTAAATGGAGAGTCAGGGAAATAGAGATTCGGGGAGCGAAAATCGGGTATAGCGTTCGGGGGGAAAAGTACCGAACCCCAAAACCGCCAAAACCACCGAATGCCGAATGCAGCGAAGCAGTGAGTGCGCAAGGCACCAAACACGCGAGGTAGTACGGAACAGTCGAGAGGGTAACTGTCGCGCGCAGTGGACGCGGAGCGAAATAGCGTACAGGGACTAGCATTCGGGCTACGGATATAATGATTCGCGAGTGTAAATAAGTGTTTGGGGTAGAGTTCGCCAAAGCGTTGATTTAGTGCCGCTGCTCAGCGAATAGTTTGTTTGGAGCAAGCAGAGGGGCGAAACAGTAATAGAAGTGGAAGGACGCTGTGAAGGGAAGGAGCTAGAAATAGCGGGGAAAAATGTTATAATAGAGAGTTCTTCTGTGTAGTTTATCGTAATAGTAATTAAGAAGCGTATTCTGGCTTTATTAAGGTAAGCTTAACATCACATGAGTTTGCAGCGTGGACCGCTCAGCTGGTAAACAGGAACAGCCAATCACGGGGCTCAGCCAGTTAACGATCGATCGGTTGATCACGTGTTAGGTTGACGTACGTGACCTGGAAACACTTCGAGTGAGGGACGCAGTATTGACTGATCTCGAGTCGGTTTTCGGCGAAAATACCAGATTTTCACCGCTCATTATCTCAGCGTAGGGGCATCGTAGGGACATGCGGTTTGCTTTATATGAACAAGGTAGGACAGCTGATCAATAATACTAAAATTAACTATTTACTATATAATTTACTAAATTAATACTATAAAGGATCGTCAAAATAAAACGGGAAAAGTTTTTAATTCGACTAATACTGCAGCATGGTTTCAGCATTTTACCGTTGTACGCTCTCCTTCTTTATACGCTCTTGATATATATATATATAATATATATATATTATATATTATGTATATATTATATATATAAAATTACAGTTTAATACCATTCCTTGGTGTGTGCATGTGTGTGTGTGTGGTGTGTGTGTGCGCCGCGCGCGCGTGTGTGTGTGTGGTGTGTGTGTGTGTGTGTGTGTGTGTGCGTGCGTGTGTGTGAGAGAGAGAGAGAGAGAGAGAGAAAGAGAGAGAGAGAGAGAGATAAAGAGAGAGAATGTGTGTACGAATGTGTTTGTTTGTTTGTTTGTTTGTTTGTTTGTTTATCCCTGCAATTCTGTGTGTGCCCGTGCGTACGTTCGTGCATGCATTAATGATAATGTATTATATCTTAAAATTATAAATAAAATTTCAGCTGAAACTATTTGCAACGTGGACCTTGGCTACGGTATAGTGTGCGGCGGCGATGCGATACGCGGAGCTTGCTACGCCAACGGGATACCTGGTTCTTTTGTGTGCAGGTGCTACTACGGATGGATTGATGGGGCCGATGGACAGTGTTCCGTACCAGATCCTGAAGGTATCGTTTATAAAAAGTACCGTTGAATCCTTTAAATATTTTTCTATAGTTTATCCCCTTTTAACATTACATGTTAATTACAAAAACATGAGAAATGTGCTGGTTTATGCACATCGGGGTTTTCGCCGAAGTATATTCATATCAAATATTTATGCCACGGGTTATGGCAGTAATGAACACCTGCACTAATAATCTTGACAAAGATAAGGTAAACATTTGGTAATTATACAATTTGAATCATTTAATGATTGTAGCAACGACGACGACGACGATGACGACGATGGAACCACTCGAGACAACGGCAGCCGTGACCACAGGAGCCGTGACCACAGGAGCCGTGACCACAGGAGCTGTGACCACAGGAGCCGTGACCACAGGAGCCGTGACCACAGGAGCCGTGACCACAGGAGCCGTGACCACAGGAGCCGTGACCACAGGAGCCGTGACCACAGCAGCCATGACTACATTCGATCAGGCCGATACAGGCCTGACACAACCTACTACAACCATGCCACCGTTAACCTGTCTTATGGAAAGATCTTCGATGAGTTATATCCGCATACAAGATCCCAGTGTTATCACCTACGCAGTGGAAGTGGTAAAGACATTGGTATTGCCCAATCTCCCAAATAAAATCCATAAATGTGCATCTCATTGTTCTGCAGATCCCGATTGCGTCATAATTGGTTTCGACAACTCGATTAGCACATGCTATATCTGTCACGTGGCTGTGAACGCTACAAACACTTTTTTTGCGGACCAGGAGTATTTGTGTGCGATAAATTAACGGCTGTTAGCCATGGGATATTCAAAGGCGCAAAATAGATCATTTATAGTAAGTCGTCATTTTAAGTAGTATCAGTTTAAGTCTAAATGGCCTTTGCATTGTCTTCTATTGTGGAAGTTACATTGACTATAGACACCCTGACTACTAAAGTGTGTAAAATTATTAATGAGAAAGTGGTTCAACGAACAGCTAGATTCTCTTGATTTAATTTCTACGTGTGCTAGTTTCAGAGTGTCATTGGTGTTAATTTCTAACATGCATCTTCTAATGCTCTTAAGGCCCCGTCACACCATAGCGTATGCTGAAACCTATGAGTTGCGTGTAAAAAATATTTTTATTACGCAACCCAAATCAACAATTTTGTCAATTTCTAGCCTATTCAACCTATGGGTTGCGTGTGAGTTGCGTGTGGGTTGCGTGTGGGTTGCGTATGGGTTGCGTATGGGTTGCGTGTGAGTTGCGAACTGAACTTATGATCCCCCAATATCTGCGATCACCTGCGTACGAGTTGCGTGCGAGTTGCGTGTGAGTTGCGTTCAAAACTTACAAGTTGCGTTGGACCTGCGTGCTAGTTGCGTGTGAGTTGCGTTCAAAACTTACAAGTTGCGTTGGACCTGCGTGCTAGTTGCGTGCTAATTGCGAATATCGGTCACGTGGTAAAAACCTGTAATATAAAAACCTGTAATAACGGTAAAACTGCATGTCGGAGTACTTGGTACCCGAGGCCAGGTGCCGCAAAGTGACTGCCAGCTTCAGGCCAGGGTCCAGGGGCAACCTGTACTTGGTGTTTTGCTTGGTGATGCGAGGACCAACTCTCCGTAGCAGCTCATCGTACATCTCGGGGGCATCCTCATAAAGTTCTTGAATGCACCTTGGTCCTCGTTCCGGAGCTC